ATGTATGGGGGGACAGGAAAACAGAAATTTTCGCTAATTTTTAGATCTTTCTGAAGTATAGCTTTATTGCACTCAAATGAAAGGTAATTAAGAGTAGATTGCAAATATTGTATCTTTTTTCTGATTCGAGCCTCGTAAAATTCAAAATGGCCGTCTAATGTACGATTTCGCAATAATTTTTCGATCCCTTCAAAGTATGGCTATATTATACTCAAATTGAAGGAATTTTGGAGTAGATCACAATTATGGTATTATTTTTCAGATTTGTACCTCAGAAAATTCAAAATGGCTGCTTTGCAGGAATTCGCAATTCTAAAATCTAATTTTTTCATTTTCAACCAAAGTAATGAGTATAATTGATTGGAATTCGGTAATTGATATTTTGTTCGTTGGGATATGCTACTCCGCGGAGTTGCCGTTATCTAGTTTATCATGGTTTTATCATTGCATTTCATGGTTGGTGGTATTTCATGGCATTTTATTGTCAAACCTGACCATCAAATACTATGGTCATACCATGGTATTTCATTGCCATAATCATAACTATCATTTATCATGGCATATCATTGCATTTCATGGTTGATTGTATTTCATAGCATTTCATTGTCAAACCTGACCATCAAATACCATGGTTATACCATGGTATTTCATTGCCAAACGAACTTTAGAAGAGTGTCGAAGTCTAAAATTGGTCAGAGTTGAAATGGATCATGAAATACAATGAAATACCATGTTTCATTATGAAATGCAATGAAATACAATGATTGATCATGATATGCAATGGAATGCAATGGTCTTTCTTGCAATGCAGTGAAATAAAATGAAAGACCATGTTCAAAAAGTATTTTTTACATGAAATATCTTTATTAATAAATGTTAATTAGATAACCAAATTATTATAATTAGTGATTCTGATATTCATCAAAATCACAACTTTATATACTTTTGTTCCTTTATTTAATAAATTAATTTCTATTATGAATAATTAAGTTAATAACCCTAGAAACAAAATTTTGCTTTACTTTTTTTTGACTGTTGGTAAAATAAGAGATCAACTCAATATTTTGTAAGTCCAACCTCCAGTCTTCGATTAAACATCTTAACTGTACTTCATTGCATTTGATGGTTTGCAACCATGAAATACTGCAAAATAGCAGTATTTTCAAATGCAAAATTTTAGTATAATGACCATGGTATACCATGGTAGATCATGATAATTGGATGGCTCCATTGCATATCATGGTTGAATGTCTAGACCATGATATCACTGCATTTGATGGTATTTGACCATGAAATACTGTGAAACGGTGGTATTTTTTAGATACAAAATTGCATGATAATTGACCATGGTATATCATGATCGTTAAATGGCACCATTGCATTTCATGGTCAGGAGCGCTTTTTTTAACATGGAGTTTCCCATTGAAAAAATACTGCCATTTCGCAGTATTTCATGGTCAGAAACCATCAAATGCAATGATATCATGGTCAAGAAACCATCAAATGCAATGATATCATGGTCGAGAACTTGACCATGATATCATTGCATTTAATGGTTTCTGACCATGAAATACTGCGAAACGGCAGTATTTTTTCAATGGAAAACTCCATGTTAAAAACAGCTGTAAACCATGAAATGCAATGGTGCCATTTAACGATCATGATCGGCCATGGTATTACCATGGTATTTCATTGCATTTCATGGCCATATACCATATACCATGGTATGGCCATGGTCCATTTTAACATGGTACTTCCTGTCGGCCGTTTTGAAGTCAAATGCTAAAATCCTTGTCTGCAAACTTTAAGAAAAACGGCTTCACAGTTTTAAAAACATTAACATCTTGTTCAGCTTCACTTCATTCTACATCTGGTTAGGTTAAGGACCTTTAAGCTCAGTCATGGCAGCCATTTTGAATGTCTGAAGAAAAGTTAGCGCACGATAATACTTTGTACAATATTGAATGGTGTTTTTGATCGGTTTTCATACTTTACCTATTTAGTAGCTTTAAAAATAATTTCAGGTGCTTCTTTATGTAAAAGCCTATGTTATTGTTAACAGTAGGTATATGTGATAATTTTGTAAAAAGAAATCAGCAAAAACTCATAATCACTTTTTTATTGTCGGCCATTTTGGATTTTTCCATTCTAAAATCTTGTCTGTAAGTCTTGTCTACGCGTTTTCAGGTGAACCATTTGGTCGATCAATTTCAAATTTTCAGAGATAATTCTTAGTATGACAATCTAGATCTGATTAGTTTTGTGGCATTCTTGATAAATGTCAAGGCAGCCATTTTGGATTTTCCGTCCTAAAATCTTGTCTGTAAAGTCTTGTTGACGCATTTTCTAGTTAACTGTTCGACGGATCAATTTCAAACTTTCAGGGTTGTGGTTCTGGTATGAAAATCCAGAACTGACTAATTTTTGGCATTCAGGGTAAATTTTAAGGTGACCATTTTGGATTTGCGTCCTAATATTGTGTCGATAAAATCTTGTCTACCCATTTTCAGGATAACCATTTGACGGGATCACCCATTGGTGGGGACATGTACAAATTTGTGTTCTTGTTTATGTTTATTTATTCTTTGAAATACACACAAAATACAATATATGAACTGGGTGACACTTTAAAAAGTGTATATTCCCAATATTAGGATTTCAGTATCATTCCACTCAACCATAACAGCACAGTGATCTGAACTAGCTCAATAACTTAGTAACTACTTAAGTCTAATTCAGAGTAATTTGGTTACCTGTATTTTACCGGTGGGCAAGCACCCAGGCGGGCGCTTTTATTTTTTTTCATAGGGGTGGTAGGATCAAAAACACATTCCAAAATTATTTTATTGCATGATTATCTTTGAGATTCGTGGTTGTGTAACTATATATGGTGGTTGGTACTTGGTGGTATACGCAATATTGTAGCAGCAAATTAATTGGAATCTGTTCAAATAAAACGAGAGCGATAGTGATGTATGGGTCTGGTCTAGGGTTTATAGAAAAAACCAGGTACCGGGTAGTAAATCCTCCATGCTGGGTTCAAACTTGGTACCCGGTCAAAAAAAACGGGTACCCAAAAAACGAAAAATACGAATATATAACATAAATATCATTAGAAAACGTGAAAGATTTGTTTTGAATTTACAAAAATGTATGTAACTTCCTTCAAAATTGAGCTAGAAGCTTCAAATAAAAAGCATTTTAAGGCTTCTAGCTCAATTTTGAAGGAAGTTACATACATTTTTGAAAATTCAAAACAAATCTTACACGTTTTCTAATGATGTTATATATTCATATTTTTGGGTTTTTGGTACCCGGTTTTTTCAAGTACCAAGTTTAAACCCAGCATGGAGGATTTACTACCCGGTACCCGTTTTTTTTTACAAACCCTCTGGTCTACTGCGCGCTGATTGGTCAACAGTGATCAGTGAGGTCAGGGTCAAGTGAGGTCACCTGCTTGACCACTGAGAACATTAAGTTTAGAGAAGATCGGGACAAACTGAGCATGGCATAAGTAAACTGAACAATATTGCAAAATATTACACAGGATTTAAAAGGCCGAAACTGTTTGGAAAGTTCCTAAATTTAGTGTAATTAAAATCTTGACTGGAAGTTAAAAATCCAGTGTCCTTGACCTGACCGGAAGACGACAACAACAAGATAGGTCCAACAAGATAATGCAGCAAACTCTTTGTCAAGATCTGCTTGGAGAAAAAAGTTGCCTAGCCCTGATACCCCGGCCTGATACGTATGTTAGCTTTTTTGTTATGACAACATAATCTCAAAGATAGTCCATAAATTAATTTTGGAATGTGTTTTTGATCCTACCACCCCTATGAAAAAAATAAAACCGCCCGCCTGGGTCGCTTGGTCGCTTGCAAAATACAGGTAACCGAGTAGTTTAATGACTTGGTAACTAAATCATGTAATTTGGACAAAAATAGGTTAATTCTTATGGTTTGAAAAAAAAACTGGGTACCGGGTAGTTAATCCTCCATGCTGGGTTCAAACTTGCTGCCCTGTCAACCCTCACGAATTAGGCGTGATTGTCACTCATTTGCTGGAAAAATAGAAATCACACATCAATTTAGCGTGTATGATCAAATATCACGCAAATCACGCATTTTGTTGATATAGATGAGTTGGACTTTTTTAAATTGCTGCGTTTAATGTAATAAATATGTTGGTGCAGCGATGGAGAGTTGTAATGGGAGTGCTTGTGCAAAAAATAGGGGAGAATAATAAAAGAACTGGCGATATATCGAGGCTTTTGGTTGAAATCTCAGAAGATTTGCATCTTCTCACATCTGGGGACCAAAACACCGCTAAAACGAGGGACCATCGCACCATCGAACCCCCTCCTGGCTATGCCTGTGACGTTGTAAGACGATTTGAAAAACATGACAAATCAATCTTACTCTATTTTCAATAGTTCGTATGTTGGTATGTGAATTGTTTTGATAATGATTTAAATCTTTAAATAGCTATCGTTACTTTAGCAGAGAGATGACCTGTGATAATTTTCTTAATGCAACATGAAAGATTTTTATTATTAATCATAATTTTCGATGAAACATCCACTGAAGTGTAAATTGTTACGTCTTACATGTCATAGGCGTAGTCAGGAGGGGGTGCGATGGAGCAATTGCTACCCCCCCTTCATGACCAATGAAAATATGACCATGATGATAGAGGAAGGAAAGAGCCTTAAAATGCTTTTCATTTGAAGCTTCTACATGTAGCTCAATTTTGAAGGAAGTTACATACATTTTTGTAAATTCAAAACAAATCTTACATGTTTTCTAATGATCTAATTATTATGTTATGTATTCGTATTTTTTGTTTTTTTTGGGTACCCGTTTTTTTGGACCGGGTACCTATTTGAACCCAGCATGGAGGATTTACTACCCAGTACCCAGTTTTTTCTACAAACCCCTGAAGTGCTCGTAACTTCAACTCTTTTTTAAATGAATGAATTTACCATGTTTTGTCTCTTTCAGAGTTGCTGAATCATTCTTCCAGAGATCTCTAGCTATGCGTGAGGCTGTTTTAGAATCTGATCACCCAGACCTCGCACAGTCTCTTAACAACCTAGCTGCTCTATATAATGATAGAAAGCAGTACAATGAGGCAGCTCCATTATATGAGCGAGCCTTGCTGATTCGAAGGAAGGTACAGTACAACTTGAACATTTTAATACAAGTTTCATCGCACCCTTGAGTGCTATATTATGGTCACTTTGCCGGGAAGGCGGTTACATGTAGGTGGGCATTCAGGTGGATGGAAACGCATTTGAGTTGGCTGGCGGGCAGGCTGGCATCCTGATTAATCTTGTCAAAAGCTTTCCAGCCAAACCGTTCAAGGGATTCATCTGACATTTCCAGAGATTTTTCTGCGTAGGAAAGTTTAGAACTGATTAGTTTTTTGGCATTCTGGGGGTCGTTTCCAGAAATGTCGTAGATTTACGATATCGTTACTCCACGACAGTCGTAGGAATGGTGAAAGTTACGACAAACTTACGACTGTCGTAGACTTATGACAGATCCGTTTCCATAAAAATCGTAAGTCTGTCGTAGAAATTCGCAACTTACGACAAGTTCCACGATAAGTGATACGAACGTCACGTGACGTTTTAGTTGTATAATGTATATGGTGTTCTAGTCTTGTCCCAGCTAACAATTTTACGTTGTGATAACGTCGTCAGAATATATGTCTCAAGTTGTAGCAACGTTAATATGGAACGTTGTAGGTACAGGAAGGTGTGGACTCACACAGATGTTTAAAGAACGTTACATTTGACTTAAATATCACGTGTCAGGAACGTAGTAGCGACCTTAACAATTACGTCGCCAAAATAACGAAACTGTAACGTACTTACATTACGTCATATATACGTGGCCAATCTTAATTTCTGGTAACGTTGATATGGAACGTTGTAGGTACAGGAAGGTGTGGACTCGCACAGATGTTTAAAGAACGTTACATTTGACTTAAATATCACGTGTCAGAAACGTAGTAGCGACGTTAAAAATTATGTCACCAAAATAACGAAAATGTAACATACTTACATTACGTCATATATACGTGGCCATTCTAAATTTCTGGTAACGTTGATATGGAACGTTGTAGGTACAGGAAGGTGTGGACTCGCACAGATGTTTAAAGAACGTTACATTTGACTTAAATATCACGTGTCAGGAACGTAGTAGCGACCTTAACAATTACGTCGCCAAAATAACGAAACTGTAACGTACTTACATTACGTCATATATACGTGGCCAATCTAAATTTCTGGTAACGTTGATATGGAACGTTGTAGGTACAGGAAGGTGTGGACTCGCATAGATGTTTAAAGAACGTTACATTTGACTTAAATATCACGTGTCAGAAACGTAGTAGCGACCTTAATAATTACGTCACCAAAATAACGAAAATGTAACGTACTTACATTACGTCATATATACGTGGCCATTCTAAATTTCTGGTAACGTTGATATGGAACGTTGTAGGTACAGGAAGGTGTGGACTCGCACAGATGTTTAAAGAACGTTACATTTGACTTAAATATCACGTGGCAGAAACGTAGTAGCGACCTTAAAAATTACGTCACCAAAATAACGAAAATGTAACGTACTTACATTATGTCATATATACGTGGCCATTCTAAATTTCTGGTAACGTTGATATGGAACGTTGTAGGTACAGGAAGGTGTGGACTCGCACAGATGTTTAAAGAACGTTACATTTGACTTTAATATCACGTGTCGGGAACGTAGTAGCGACCTAAACAAGTACGTCGCCAAAATAACGAGACTGTTACGTACTTACATTACGTCATATATACGTGACCAATCTAAATTCCTGGTAACGTTAATATGGAACGTTGTAGGTATAGGAAGGTGTGGACTCGCACAGATGTTTAAAGAACGTTATATTTGACTTAAATATCACGTGTCAGGAACGTAGTAGCGACCTTAACAATTACGTTGCCAAAATAACGAGACTGCAACGTATTTACATTACGTCATATATACGTGGCCAATCTAAATTTCTGGTAACGTTGATATGGAACGTTGTAGGTACAGGAAGGTGTGGACTCGCACAGATGTTTATTAAACGTTTCATTATTTTGACTTAAGTTTTACGTGCCAGGAATGTAAAACCAACTTTAACAATGACTTCGCAAAAATAACGAAACTGTCATGTACTTATGCAACGTCACATATACGTGCCCGGTTTAAAGTTCTGGTACATTAATTTTGGAACGTTGTAGGTACAGGAAGGTGTGGACTCGCACAGATGTTTAAAGAACGTTACATTTGACTTAAATATCACGTGCCAGGAATGTAGTAGCAACCTTAACGACTTTGCTAAAATAAAGAGACTGTAACGTTCTTGTCACATACATGGCCAATTTTAACTTCTGGTTACATCAAGTTAGGACAACACGTGCAAGGAATGTTCTCGTAACGTTAATTATGACATCAACAAGATATAGTGACAGTAATCCGGTAATGACTAACGTCCAGTTAAATGAATCATTACATGATTATATAGCTAATTTAAAGTTCCAGTACAGGAAGATGTAGACACCGATGTTCAGTAAAATTATATATAACACACTAAGCCTAACATTTTCACATGTGAAGGTAAAAGACAACTAACTTATGCTTTGACTTATTAACAAATGTATATTGTTTTTCCAATAATTAATGAGTTAATACACAAGAACTTTTTTGAGCATCTAGATAGAGAATATTGACACACAGAATTGAACTTAAAGAAAAGTCTCGTATGTCATCTATCAAAAATCTATCCTATCATTAATAAGTTTTATTAAGTATTTTATTAACCCCTAAACGGTTAGGGAGGTGGGTTGAAATTGAATTTGGAATTGAAAACTTGTTATCTTTCCAATGATACCTAATATATAGAGGTTATTTAATGGGAGATTTTTGATACAGGGTATATCTGAGGGAAATATACCGGTACCGGTAAATAGGGTATTTACCGAGGGATATACCTTTATCAAAAATCGAGCATTTAATAACTGATTTATCCTATACTTAGTAGATTATGAGAATTAAATATGCATTGAATGTTAGGGTACCCTAATGTAGTAATTCAAACGATAATTTCAATCAAAACATGAATATTTTATTTAAAGTCCTCAAAGATTTTTGTTTTTTTAAAACTCAACAGCTTTCAACATTTTAAAGTGTATGAAAATAATATTTATCCAATAGAGCCAAAGTGTATCCCGGGAATTCGAAAAAAGCACCGAAAGAAATTCCCGGGGATTGCTGATGAGCGGATGATATATAGTATATCTCCCACTCAACTCAGTGGGAGATATATATAACACCCGCTTACCTTAGATATCAATTATATTCCTGCATGTTATTTACCTTTAACACTACTAAGTATGGGATAAACCCTTGTTTGATATTTCGATATTCCATTTCCGAGATTGTGTCCAAATCTCGGCAGATCTGTTCGCCCGCCTTTACTATGAATGTAATTATCTATAGCCTAACTGTTTAGGGGTTATATTGTTATTTTTCTGAACGGAATGAATAAATACTCTAATTTGAGCTTGAACAAATGCTCTATTAGTTAACAAGGTATTGATTGTCAATAAGCAATAATGACCATTTTAAGTGGGGAATAAAGGATGAGTCTGGGAATGAGTCTTGTTATTGACTTAGGAAATATTGAATATTGTAGTGTCTGAAAAACCAACTCAATCACACATATTATTAAACTTGAATGGTATTTCTTGATAAGTGAATTGGTGTTGATCTGAGTAATCAAGGGATTATAGTCACTCAAAGTTATGAGCATCCAGTTTTGACACTTCAATTGTGTTGGTGAAATTATACATATTTCATTCAAATTCATGCTGAGCACAACATTTTGGTTTCAATTTTATAATCTCTGCATGACCCTGGTGATGAAGAGTCGGAATCAGTCAAAAAAAACTGGAAAACTGTGCTCATTGAGAAAACTAAAAGTGAAGCTACTTTTTTCTGATATTTCTTATATAAAATGGCAGCCATCTTACTTTTTCCACTTCAAATTAAACTGGCTTGAAATTCAAAAGTTTGAAAAAAAATTAAATCCTAAAATATATTTAAAAAATATGATTTTTTTTAAAAATTCTTCATGGGCCTTTTAAGTTATTTTTATTTTACATGTCATACATGTTGCAATTGGTGTTTCTTTCTATGATAATGATTATTTGTTTTCTGTTAGGATACTTATTTTGACTCTCAGCAAAACTCATGAAAAAGTAAATATACTTAACAAATATAACTAGGACAGTTATAAAAATCATATTTCACATCCATTTAACTGAGGGACCAAAAGGGCATATATCATCCTTTAGAAAAATTGCATGTTTCAGTATTAAGCCACTATATCTATGCAATCTTAAAAGTACTGTCTCGTTACTTGTTATAGAGATAAAAATTTAATTCAAACTGGCTTGCAGATATTGTTTATGCTAAGTGTTCATTTTTCCTTGAAAGCATGAGCTCTCATTGGTCCTCATCACTTCCCAAATGTTTCTTTAAATGACTCAGCTCAGTCGTTGTTTCCCTGGGTGCATGTTTAACACATTGCCATTTCTGCTTGTTTTTGAACATTTTCCTGGAAAAAATCAATCTATTGAAAAGTATGAAATGTAACCTGTATACCCATACCCACTCTGTATATTTTGCAGTGTCATTTTCAACCAAAATTGACCTAGCGATCTATTCTTTACAATCTCAGATACAATATGTCTCAAAGGTCTACAATGTGTTCTAAATCAGTAGGTTATCAAGGATTAAAAGTGCAAAAATCGGGAAACTGTTTAAATTCTTCCAAATATAAATATGGAAGCCATATAAAATACATATTTGTAAAATTCTTTGGTAAAATTCTCTAGTATTCCTGAAGTAAAGTATGCACTTTAGATTTTTAGAATATAGAATGACAAGGATCTTGCTAGATTTGATTCTGCCTTAAACTTAATATATGTATATACATGATATATAAAATACTACTATAATGAATAATATAGATTAACCTGGACTTACAGAAGTCACTTTCCTCACACCTCCCAAAGCTCAGAGGACTCTTCTGCCTAACTTCAAAAAACGTCAAATGTTCCATTCTGCTTGTACTGCTAGTTTGTCTGAAATATTTTAGAGACTTTTAGTATAAACATTATATTAGTTGGTTATCTGAAAATGCACCTGGGGTGTTATCTTTCTTCCACCAGATCTGATCTTTGTCTCAGGAGACTTTTTGGGACTACTCTGAGTAAAACAATCCCTATGCTCATCTGTTTATAGATCCCTAGTAGCTTTTCATACTATCCTTTTGTATTTCTAGAATCACATAGCCAAAACATTCCTCCGTTGACTCTGATAATCTTCATCCAATGATCTAACTACAGATTTATTTATTAAAATATTCTGTTGGATACTTATTTGAAATATTGGAACAGTAGGAAAGTAGATACCTGAGAATGACTCTTAACTTTCCTAGAAAAAATATGTTAACGAACGAAAATAATTTTGAGAAGGACTGAAAATATCACTGTTCTATCACAATGAATGTTTAAGTCAGCTAAACCACATTTTTGTAACTACAAAATAGCCAACAAAACAAAAGATATAGTTTAAATAGTAATGCCTTGTGGCGAGGACGATCGAGGACCGTGTTTATTAGCTAACATAACAACATAACATATAGACAATCACACATCAATAGAGAGGATCACACCGAGTGATCTTCATTGCACCGAGCAATCTAAAGGTCTCACACCTTGCTGCTATGTTACAGCACTTTGTTCTAAACCAGAACAGCACAAATTATCAAAATTAAGTAATAGCTGTATATCTTATCAGCTCCCATCAATCTCCAACTAATATAATCAGTGTAACTCACTCCTATGTTATCCAATATAGCTGTATATTTAATCAGCTCCCATGAATCTCCGATGGGTTAAATCTCCATAACAGTAAGAACAAATATTTCTATGCGCCGAGCAATAACGTAGTACAAAGCAACAAATCTGATCAGTGTAACCCACTAAGTTATCCAAAATAGCTGTATAATTAATCAGCTCCCATGAATCTCCGATGGGTAAAATTGTCCATTCCATTAAGAACAAAAATTTCTATGCACCAAGCAATAATGTAGCACAAAGCAACTGCTATAGTAATGCACAACTTTTAATCTTATCCAATATAGCCGTATATCCTGTCGGCTCCCATGAATCTCCGATGGGTATAGCTCTACTTAGCTGTAAAATCAAATGTTTCAATGGACTGAGCAATCTTGAAGTACAAAGCAACTTAAACAGTAGTTATTACAGTAACTTGCTTTACAATAAAGAAATGGCGTATAAAGTAAAGGATCCAGAAGACGTTTGTTTCAAAAACTGAACCTTAGATGCAAGCCTGACAATCTTAAGACTTGACTCAACTTCTCGGAGACCCAACCTGAAAACCTATCATATTATACTTTTTATTATAGGATACAGGAGGTCTGACCTCACCAAACTGAAGTAGAGATAAACAGAGGCCAAGTCTACACCTAGTTATAAATGAGCTTGAAAATTATGTTAAAATGAACTACAGTACATTAATTTGCGTAAAATTAAGATTTTAAAAGTAAATTGTTGGTCGTCCACTCGCTTAGCTGAGAATGAACTTACCTATTCATTACGTACTTATCCCTAATATCTATACACTCAACAGAATCAACGAACCATGAAACGTACAAACCCCCCTTACAACTTGGTACGCATAAAAACAAAAATCTCGTATCCCGCAAATCTTAAAGTAATTTTTTCACTAATTCGTACCTCAAACGTTAGAAAAATTATTTAAGTCAGCTAAACCACATTTTTGTAACTACAAAATAGCCAACAAAACATAAGATATAGTTTAAATAGTAATGCCTTGTGGCGTGGACGATCGAGGCTAAAGAAGAGAGAATGTGAACAAATACTCACAGTCCAAGACTTAAAGTAACGCTTAACCTTTGTTTGATATCACTTTCTATGTAGCCATCTTTGGCCGTTTCACTTCTCCATCTGCCATGAGCTTTGAATAAGCGATCTGGGACACCATTGTTAGCTGCGACGCTAGCGCCGCCCGCTCTTAAAGAATGCAACCCAAAGTTAGAGCTATCTACTCCAATTTCTTTCAAAGCGAACTTAAACATATCCCTACAAGTAGTATAACTGAGAGGCTTAGTGTTTTCTCTAAGTTGATGTTTGCCTTTTGATTTACAATACGACAGACCTCCGAAGATAAACTGGTTGTGACTTCCAATGCGTTCATATAACGCAAAAACAAAGCGTAAGGACATGTTTCGTTGTTGGTCCTTGCTATCAAAACATTAGCTCCATTACGGTAGCAATCTGTTTTTGATTTTTGTATGAAAACATCTAAGAATGAATCCTTGAAAACAAAGTCTGAACATCTAAGTCTAGAAACCTCATCAAATCTTAGAAAGGCAGCGAAACTTATTACAATGAAAGTTGCCGTTCTCAAATCTGAAATCGATGAGCTCTCCTTAGCAAATCTATGCACGATTTTTTCTATCATTTCAACTGTTATAGGTGCTTTCTTTGAAATTTTGTTATGCTTTTGACGTGAGGCACCTTCAGTAATAATTTTAATGAGTTGATGCTCACAGGGATTAGGCAAACATGCTAAATTGTGTGCCCAAGCTATACTGTATTTAGCAGCAATAATTTGACTGTAGCTGTAAGAAGTTTGCCAGATACTCAACAAATAAATGGAAACGTGAATATGATTTGCTGGTAAAGCGTGAAAAGTAAGCCCGTAGCACCAGTTTTTAAAACGTTCAAAACCTGACTTGTACTTTGTAAGTGTCTTGTTTTCTCTGCTCTTAAAGGCCAAATCCATCATTTCGACGGGAACGCCCTTCAAAGTGTCATTACTACTGCAAACGTCTTTCACTTGCGTCCATGTTTCGCTGCTGAAGATATCTACATCTTGAATTAACTTTGAGTCTTTAGCTGTTCTGGTTTTGGTTGCTTCCATTTTGGTATTGCTGCGTGAACTGCTGTTGCTGCTTGGACCAGCACTCACGGGCCCAGTGCCCGACGGACCCGCAGTTCAGGCAAATGTCGTTGCCTCTGGAGTTCGATGTTCCGGCTTGTTGAGTGTTGGGCCATGAGCGCTGTTGACCCTGTTGCCACTGCCACCTGTTGCCAGTATTGGGTTGGCGACTTCTATCTTGTCTGAAATTAAAGCTTGAAGCGCCAGAATTGTGAAACCTAGTATTTCTAACGCTTATTTTGCGTTCTCTGACTTTTCTACCTGCGTTAAACCTGGCGCTTTTAATCTTTTTATCATCTTCGTCGTTACTTGCGTATGCGTCTTTTACATATTCTTCTACGGCTAACCAACCGTGTTTAGAATCATCAGCAATTTTGATACATTTATTTCGATATGTAATAAGTTTCATACCTTCGTCCAGCTTTGCTAGTACTTCTGGGTGAGAGTCCCCCAACATATCGGAAGCGTCTTTGATGGCGTCGAGCGCAAGTCATTGAAGGACTACCTTAAAAGCACATTATAAGCTTGATTAAGCCTACATTACTGCATATTATGCTTTGATAAAGGAAAAATGATAGAAACTCAGCACTAAATCGTAAATTATTTTCCCTTAAAGTAATGCATATCACATGTTCACAATAGATAAGTCAGCTAATAGTTTGAATTTTTGCCAGGATTATAAAGGAATTTACGATAACTTGCTATATTCCTGAGTGTTCCGAGAGATAATGTAGGCCTACCTGATTAGCATGGAACACCACTCATCTCAACACAAGGGTCATCTCAGGGTTATCATGGGTGAAAGCTACAACGGTTCATCTCCTACTCCTGAAAACAGAAAAGGTAGATGGAAAAATAGAGGACAATACTAGTACTTTAAAAGACTGTTACTTTATTTTATACTTTTATTTCAAATTATATCCACAATTGTCTGGGTTTATCGGCAGAACAAAGAAATTTTCTTTTTTAATCACAATAATTGTGTGTAATTGTTAGTAAAATGGGGAATCCCCTTTTAAATCCAACCGCCATCTTGGAGAGTGATGGAATATCTCTCGATGAAAAAGAAAAATGTTCCCGTTCTGCCGATATACCCAGACAATTGTGGATTCAGCTACACGAAAAGAATGCTAAAATACCCAGGAATCTATTGAAGAAGGTATCTTAAGTTTAAGGGGCGTAGATTATTCTCCCAAGTTGTAATTGTACAGGCAAAAGATTGCGCTCAATGCAGGACTATAGTCCTGGCACGGGATAAGCTTTAACATTACAACGGTCATGACAGGCCATGCAATATAAAAATATAGCATTGTTACGGTTATATCAGGCTATCATGATAAAAGTACCACGGTCATGGCAGGATCCTTGCGAAACTTAAAACACTTAATAACATGGTGACAGTTGTGCCAGGCATAAGTCAACAGATAGGGTCTCCATTTGATTGCTTATTTTTTAAATTCAAAGTAGATCTAGTTCCAAACATTAAATAAAAATATGTAAAATATACATCTTTTAGAGGATGTATGTATCTAGACAATATTGGAAACTATGGGCTTTCAGATTATGATTAGTCTAGGAAATGGTAATACAAAATCCACCTGCCATTTACATGTATTAATTAAATAAAAAGTTCCTGCTATACCTTCATCACCTGTGGTTTCGTGGAGTCTAATGACTCTACCCAAATGTATGTGGGGAACAAACAGATTCGCCATCCTGATGTTAAATAGTTCTCACGTCTTGTTGCTGATATGGGATATTTACGATTAGCCTACCCTGGGCCTATAAAGCTGTTTTCTCTAAAAAAAATGTCAACTTATTTTCGAAATATCCAATAAAACCATCGACATCGGCTCCAACCGTCGTTGTTTAGCAGTTTGGACTGATCTACATATGGAATATACCTGACACTGTGTTCTGTTTCATATAAAGACAATAAACTAAGATGTATAATGGTTTTTATGTCTAAATATATTGTCGGTTGTCCGTTGGAAATTTCAAACAAAATGGCGCTGTTCTCACTGGCGCTTACCATCTATCACGAAATAAAATGCATGGTATCACGAAATAACACAATCAATTGCTAGAATACATGTAGTAATAGAATCAAATCAGATAGATAATACAACAGTTACGTGATCCAAAGTGTTGTTACCACTGTTGTACGTTAATTGTTCACGACTCTAGACGTACAGAACGTCAAACTTTTGACAGTCGAAACGTCTGCAATAATCCACGGTAAAACAACGTCGGAGAAACTTTTTATCTACATCCATATTTCCACTCTCACATAGTTAAGTTCATCTGTGTGAGCCAACACATTCCTGTGCCTATTAGTAGTGCCTATACCGATTAGTATTTAAAGTTACCACAACTCGAGGCATACCTGTATGTAATGTATTATATATTTAACATTTACTTCACGTCACAAATTAAACGAATTCGTTGAGACCGCAACGTCTTTGTCACGTTTTCTACACTTACAAATATCTTTCACATTTAAAACACCTTTCGTCAACGTCAAAATTAACCGTTTCGACAACGTTGCAAATAAACCAATTTCTGGTGAGAACACAACGTCTTTGTAACGTTTTCTGCACTTACGAATATTTTTTACATTTAAAACACGTTTCGACAACGTTGAAATTAACCGTTTGCACTACGTTGAAAATGAACAATTTTGGTGAGCACATGACGTCTTTGTAACGTGTTTTACACTTACACATATTTTTCACATTCAAACCATGTTTTGACAACGTTACAATTAACCGTTTTCACTACGTTGCAAATGAACCAATTTGCAAATATCTTTCACATTTAAAACACGTTACGACAACGTTAAATTTTACCGTTTACATAACGTAGCAAATGTACCAGTTTGGTGAGAAAATGACGTCTTTGTAACGTGTTTTACAAGAACAAATATTTTTCACATTCAAACCATGTTTAGACAACGTTACAATTAGCCATTTTCACTACGTTGCAAATAAACCAATTTCTGTTGAGAACACAACGTCTTTGTAACGTTTTCTGCACTTACGAATATTTTTCACATTTAAAACACGTTTCGACAACGTTGAAATTAACCGTTTGCACTACGTTGAAAATGAACAATTTTGGTGAGCACATGACGTCTTTGTAACGTGTTTTACACTTACACATATTTTTCACATTCAAACCATGTTTTGACAACGTTACAATTAACCGTTTTCACTACGTTGCAAATGAACCAATTTGCAAATATCTTTCACATTTAAAACACGTTACGACAACGTTAAATTTTACCGTTTACATAACGAAGCAAATGTACCAGTTTGGTGAGAAAATGACGTCTTTGTAACGTGTTTTACAATAACAAATATTTTTCACATTTAAACCATGTTTAGACAACGTTACAATTAGCCGTTTTCACTACGTTGCAAATGAAACAAATTTGGTGAGAACACGACAACTTTGTGACGTTTTCTACACTTACAAATATCTTTCACTTTTAAAACACGTTACGACAACGTCAAATTTTACCGTTTGCATTACGTAGCAAATGTACCAAATTTGCTGAGAACACAACGTCTTTGTAACGTTTTCTACACTGACAAATATCTTTCACATATAAAACACGTTACTACAACGTCAAATTTTACCGTTTATATT